GAGATAGACCCTCCCCCCCCCCCCCCCAGGAAAACAGTGAGGAAATGAAAACTTTATGAGGTTTTGCTGAGGCTTAACTGAAAAAAACAGAAATTCAAAGCAACTGACATTTGTTCAGTTTTCTGTATGTTTTCAGCTTTCATCTCTTCGCTTAAAAAGTTATCTCTTCAGATAAATCAAATGCATTTTGAGAAGAGTTAGCTTTTCATCAGAATAGAGTTTTTATTAAATACTGAACAGCTATTACGCAGCCAGACGGAAATGCCTCTCCATCTGCACTTATGATACTAGAGGCCTTTATTACCCAGCTGCGCACAAGGAAGTCTTTAAGCCTCCCACAACAGCAGTGTGAATGGAGGACTTTGCCAGGGTGGCTGGTTAGGGCTAGGGCTGGCCACCAGGAGGCTGCAGGCTGTGTTCATTGCTGGCCAGCAGCTCCATGGGACACCCTGTCAGACCCCTCTCTTGGGAGTCAGGTTATGCTTTTGCAATGAAAAAGGGAATCTCCTGGCCAAATTCCCACTGAAGCAGAATCAGCTTGGAACAACAACATCAGAAAAGACAAATGTGAATACAAATAAACAAGGACTGGCAGAAATTGCAAGGGCTTGCAGATGTTTGATGTTTCGATGATGGGACAGGTTCAGTCACTGGGCTCTTACCAGATCTCCTTGAGGGCCTCCATGTTCTTTATGTTCCATCAAGTTTTCCCCTTGCAATTTAACTTTGCAATGAGTCTGGTCTGGCTTTATGGAGTAGAAAGCAAAGAGGGTTCAGTAGTAGGATTCATAGTTCAGTAGTAACTCATAACGCTTGACTCTACTTTTGCACAGAAACCTGCTCCAAGGAAGAGTCTGCTGCAGAGCATGGCTTCTCCTCAGTACAGCACCCTAACTGCTGTGTCTATTCCATCCTCCCCATTTCTCTTCACTCCCTCAGGTTAATTTTCCCCTTCTCAAAACAAATGTAGTCCTGTGGAATTACCCCCACCTTTTACTAGTGCACAGTAGGGAGTCAAACTGTGGGTCCCAATCCTGTTCTTGTTTTTCTGATGCATTCCTTACCAGATGTTTCCCTTTTCTCATCAAGTGTGTAGAGTACTTGAGCACGGATCTGAGTCCTGGTTTAGCAGAAATCAAAGATAACAGGTCCTCTCCCTAGCTGCACTGTCTTCTATTAACCTCTCATGTTATCACACTAATTTCTCTGTTAGAAATAATAACTGCTAGCACTTAGCACCTTCCAAGCACAGAGCAAACTTTAGTAATTAGCCCTTGGAATACCACTGTTAGGGAAGCACGTCTCTGGTTATTAATAATAATTGCAAAATATTCATCAGACCTGTTAAACACAATGATGCTGCAAAAGTTCAACTGTGGTTTTGTTCGTCCTGATTTCTAACACAAGGCACACATGTGCATCCATCACCCACCTCCAACACACACACACACACACACACACACACACACGCACATGCATGCATGCATGCATGCTTATTTATGCACTGTCAGCTTTGCCTTTCCCATTAGGAGGCACTGCAAGGGGTAAAACTGTAAAAGCTATCTTTGAGGCAGCTCCCAGATTTCATAGGCCAGCAGAGGAGCTAAGTGCACCCAAAGCCTTTATTCCATAAAACCCATCAGCACAGAAAGAGATGTGTGCAGAAAGCATTTGAGGAGGTAGCCCTTCATCTTGGCCCAAGCTGGGCAAGGGATACTGAGCCCAGCCTTCCAGATTCCATGTCTGTATGTTTTGGGGAGGAAGTTATTTTTGGAATCCCCGCCTGAGCTGCTGCTAGCATTGATGCTCTGCGATAACAACCCTTCACGCCTCTCACTTGTTTATGCAGAGCATGAAAAGGCCCTTTGTGCAGCTCTGGGGGCCAGCTGCCAGCTGGGAGCCGTGAGGCACTTCTCATCTCCCTCACCCTTGGTGAAGGTGTGCTCTTGGTGAGGCACAGGGCAGTTGGCTCCTGAAGCCAGGCGGCCCAGGACTGAGAAGGGCTGGCAGAAATAGCCAGCCTTGCACAAGGAGGGGCACAGCTCCTTGTGTTGCGTTCCTGGGTGCTTTCTGCCTTTCATACTTTTTGGATGATGTGAAGACATCAGCTCGGTCAGCTCGGAGCTGCTTCACCTCCAGGAGCTCCAAGCAAATGTTTACATCCAAAGATATAAACATTTCCAGCTCTTAGTGATCATGCAATACCCCAAATTGTGCCATTTCCTCCAGGCCACCTAAAGCTCAAAGATGTCCCTGGGACTGAGGTGTCATCAGAGACACTCAATCAAGCCCTCATTGTCCCTATGTGTTTCGGAGCCCTGAAGTCTTGGGGAGATGAGCAGGCTTCCCACAGTCTTCATCTTCTGCTTCCCATGTAGCAGGACTAAGTACCAAAATGCTGTCTCTGCCTGCCTGCCTGCCTTGATATGAAGTTTGTCGCTAGGTTATGCCCACCATGAAGAACTGAGAATAAAAGGGACAGAAAATACATCTTTTTAATTAACTAGAAGAAATTTATGATCCATATAATAGTTGCAACGCATCCCACCTTGACACCTTGCAGTGGTAGTAGTGGAAAGAACTGCAGTATCTCTGGGAGACAGGAAGGAAGGAATATTTGCCCACTTTACAGGCAGGCAAACAGACTCAAGGTGGGATGAGAATGCAACAGAGCTCAAAGGGGATGCAAAGTAACAAAAGAAAGCATTTCCACTACAGGCACCTCAGCAGACCACATGGGGATATGCGATTCCCCAGTGAGTCAGGGATAGGGTCAGGAGCCACCAGCAAAGAAAGTAACACCATTGGCAACTAGAGTAAACCGTGCCAATTAATGCTTTCCTGTGAACTATGAGGGCAATGACCAAGGGCCAGGCAGGTCCTACTCCTAACTGCTGCCCCTGCCCTCTGGGCATGTCCTGCCCTATGCAGGTGAGAGAGCTGCAAGTTTCTCTCCTTCATTAGCTAGGCTTTTCGCATGGAGCAGCTGGATGTGACCCTGGGCCCAGAGACCCTGGAGATCATCAGTCCCATCCTGTTTAGGAACCTAGCGAGGCTGTGGCTCTGCCCTAGATCTCACTCAGCACACAGTGGGCATGGGATATCCTGTGTCTTTCTGCCCTGAGGCTGCCAGCAAAGTATCAGTTCTCATGAGAGGAGCCCCTGGCATTGGGCTGACATGCTCTGATTAAAGGAAAGGCTCTGACAGCTTAATTAGCTGCCAGGTTGAGAATGGCAGGGATTGAATGAAATCATTCTGATACCAGCCTGCCCCACAAAGAACAGCTGAGACTCGCCTAGCAGAAACATTGGCACCAAAGAGAGAGAAAGTAGGCAAAGATGAAGAACAAGGCATAAACTGGGGAGCGGACATGTTTGCGTTTGCTCCTTTAACCCAACCACCATGCTGCTAAAATCTCACACCCTGAGGTAGAAAAGATTAGATTTACGTGACAATACCCCCCTTGCCGACCTATGCTAAAGTAGCATCTCATTCCACTCACGTAGCTCCCATATCCCTTGGCTGCCCTAGTTAGATGGATGCTCCTTAACACTGAACTTGACTCTATCCTAAATTGCTCTGCTTAGGGGAGCCACAGAGGAGGTTGCAATATTAATTACTGTATTGCAGCAGGGGTGCTGACTCAGGGGATTGGACCAGCAGAAAATGCTATTTCTACCCAAGAACTTGACTTTGTGTGCTGCTTAATATCTCATGCTTCCCAAGCTATTACTTATCAGTGCAAACATTTTGAGACTGCATGAATTTTTCTATTAAGAATCATAGGCATGAAGGGGACAGCAAAAAACAAAAAATCATCTCTTCTGGATCTCAGATTGCCAGTTATAGCCCCCAAAGTCCTAACTCTCTAAGCCAGGTGATCATGTGAATATCTCAGCTTCTAACATTTCTGGGTACAGAAAAAAATGGAAAATGTGTAGCCTAAAGGCTGAAAACTCAGGAAACAAATCAAGAAAACTCACAGGGTCAAAAGTGATCTAAGGACCTGTACAGATGCAAAATGCACCAAGTCAGATGGGACTGTTATAATCACCCGGCTATCTGACCTCTGCTGTTTGAACAGCATCTCAGCCATAATTTGAGTACCTTCAACTTCCGGCCACTCAATCTTGCTGCACATGTGTCTGATTAAAGACCACTGTATTATGCACAAGCCTCTCCCCATGCCAGTTCCTACAGCCCCCACTAGCATCCCTGGCCTTTCTCCTGGAGATACCTACCAGGCTGAAGTTCTTTGATCTCCCACTGCCAGACAGGTTTTTCTGCCCCTACTTGGACTTGCAGCTATCTTCTGAACCTCTTTGAACTTCATATATAGTATCAGAAACTATTGTGATTTTAAGAAACATTTGGGACTCAGGTTTCATATAGGATGGCTTGGGGATGGCCCTAGAGAGAATGACGCTTCCTTTACCAAAGGTCCCCATTAGTCTCTGCTCCAGATTTGGGCTGACATTAGCTAAGAAGTAAGCACAACCTCTTTCC